CATTAATGTGCGAGATACTTGCACACGGCCGGGAGGCTTCGTCTTGTGGAATGCAAGCGCGCGGATTGATTATCTCGAGCTGTTACAGTCACCTGCAGGCGTACACGATGTTTATAACTTGTACGTGACTGGCATACATGTAAGCATTACGCCAAAGGTAATTAGGGATGTCGGAATGAGGAATTATCCAAGACAAATATTTATGTCGTCAATAAAATTCGCGAGATCACGTTCATCTAACGATTGACGCTCGATTCGCTAACTAGATAAATAGAGAAAACGAAAAAATATTCACCAGTCTATCGTCAAGTTTAGATATTTTTGTTCGATTCATTTCTAGTTACGCATTTTTTGAAATTATACACATTGCACAAGTTTAAACTTCTCACTTTATCGCATTTCTCGCGAAACATCGCAACACGCCATATTGTCGTAATTGGATTTCAACGGAACATAACCTTCTTGACCATTAACCTCTCAATTTTTCTTACATTCCAATATATCAACAACTGTACATGGTACTTTATACTTCTTTAGCTTTATATTTCCACAATCTTCCATCGTATCCACCTACGCGATCATCTCACAAACTCTCAATTACACGTACACACACATCACTCTCAGCATGCAATCAGTAAATTCATTGCACAGATATTCCCATTCCGTCTAACAATCCAGAAACTAATGCGCGTTTTCTCGCTTCGAGACTAACGATCCCGCGATCGTGTAAAAACCACTTCAAGCCTCTTTTACCTCATACCACCAACTAACCTCCATACTAGTGTTCGTTAATTTCGATCGACTGGCGAGAAGTTGGTTCATGGTCGATAAAGTACATCGAAAGAAAAGAGACATGAGTAGAGGCAGTTTAAACGGGCGGGAAAAACGAATAAGAACGCAGTTAGCTTTTGAAATTTATACGATGCGTTGTCTCATTATCGGCATACGAACAAATGAAAATCATTACCATTCATCGTAATATGAAGGCGGGATTTCCTATAAGCGTGTCCAACATATTTATATCGATAAATACAGTGCAAAAGTATATACGTATACTTATACATACTGTTTCAATATTCTATTCTCATTACGTTATTTTCTTTTATTTCTGTATTATTTCTAATCTTCGTAATTTTTAGGTTAAAATGAAATCTTAATTTATCATGTATCTCTAATAAATCAAAAAAAAAAAATATTTTAATACGATTTATTTTTATAAAAAATAAAAAATTTTAAAATTATTTGCAAAGACTTTCAAACTTGTATTATTCATTTTTCTTTGTTTTTTTTAAATCGAATATCTATTGTTTTTCACGCGTTAGAGAATCTCTAACAAAGAAAACATTTCTATTAACGGAAGTAACGGTGAAGAAGCGAATCTCTCGTGGTCGAGGTGGAAGAGCATGAACACGCGTCACGATTTCAAACAGCGCGAAATTACAAAGCGGCCACGTTCGTGACGGGCGAAATTAAAAATTGAATTCCTGAGTCAGAGTAGGGGGAGGACGCTTTAACGCGAGAACGCGTCCCGACGGCCGCGTTTCCGGTGCGGTGCAGTGTGCTTCCTCTGAACGAGAGACCACGTCGCTTGCGCGGTTTTAATTAACCAAATTCTCCCCTACGTTTTTGTGACCGCGACTGTAGGCAATAAACATGTGGAAGTCGCGTAACATCGCAATAGGAAGCCCGCCTGTGCGCGCCGCGAATTTATGCGCGCGCCGCTGTAAAGGAAATGCGGCTTAATTCATTGTAATGTGCGCGAATTTCAAAAAGAGAAAGTTCAAGTTCATTCTAACACGATATATTAAATGTTATAAAAATATCATCTGCTTAACGGATAATTAATTATTTATATTATATTATATCTTACGGGAAATTTTTAAAGAAATAATCCAATATTCGTAAATAATATATGTTAATAATATGTAAATTTATATATTTTTTTATATACAGAAGAAAATTATTTCTTGAACGTAAAATAAAATAATAATGGAAAGAATAAAAAATCCAAGAATAAACACGGAATATCATAATCGGAACAGTCTACGTTAGCAAAAAATTGCCTAGAATCCAGTTCGATCGTGTTGCGGAAATTTCATCGTTCTGCTCGAATTGCTCGCTGTATTAAGCATCGGCAAAAACATTATCTCGCTGCATTGCTATACAATTCTCCCCATTATAAGTCCCTCAACTAGATAACTACTTATTTTTATCAATGTTATAAAAAAAAAAGGAAAGAAAAAAAAAATAAAGAAGGAAAAGAAATTCCACGAACGACGAATAAGAGGCTAGCGGCGAGCATTAGATTAAGATCCCTCGGATTCAACGGATCGAGGATTACAATCTCGAGTACGTGGTTAAAATATTTTTTATAGGCACACAGGCTCGTTACAGGCGTGTTGGTAATTCGACGGCTAAATTGTCCCGGCGAAACAGACTTAAACTGCATCTAATAGAGAGTCGCCATTACGAACGAATTGCGAGTCCGTCGTTACGGTTAAGAGTGCAAGAGAGCAGTTTCGGTGGCCGAGGGGCGATAATTCGCAAATAGCCCGGTCACAATGAAACGTGCTCGTCCATCCATGAACCAAACCACTCGTACGCCACTCTAGAATCGAGTGCGGTCAATTCGAAGACGAGCTCGAGCGTTTCGACCGGTGACCCGAAGCGATCGTGCACATTTTCCTTCCACGTGTATTTATTATACTTAAGTGCATACGCATTTCGAGAGCCTCGTAATCCTTTTCCCCCGTAAATAAAAAAATCTCTATCTAAACCAGTCTAAACCATCTAAACCAGAAAAAATTTGTAAACAGGAGATATGTCAAATATCACATATTTTAAAAAAATATACGTAACAATTATCCCGATTCTTTCTTTTCGATATCGTATATAAAATAGAACTTACGAAATTTCATCACGTAATACGTAATATAATTCAGAGTTTGTTATGTTACGAACAATGACTCGTATCTTTTAAGAGATTAAATTCCTTTGACAGGCCACAAATTCCCCACCCATAAAACGCAATTAACATACCAAACAATCAGGCACCATTAACGAACCTAAGCCAACCGATTAAAACGATCCGTTACTCGAGCTCATTGCTCGAAGAGATCGAGCCTCGTAACGGATCGAAAAGTGCGCTCGGCTAGGCAAACAACTTCTCCGCGTCGAATTCCTCGAAACTTTCCACCTTCGATTTGCCGCTTGAAAATAATTACCGGCCAATTACATTCGCGCCTGTCTGCCTGTAACCGCGCTTTGTCCAAGCGTTAAATGCCAACTACCCGGCCAGGATGACATACAGGATCGTTCAGAATAAAGACACCTGCCCTCGATCCCGTTTAAAACGACGACGAGAGGACGGCGGGGGAAAAATAAAAGCGGCTGGGGAACGCGTGTATAGTGTACACGTCGTCATTGTAATGGGGCGCGTAGCCATGCACAAGCCTCGAGGAGGCAGGAATTATTTTCACAAGTTCCGGGCAGCCCTTTGTGGGCCCCCTTTTGCGCGCGCGCTCACCCGGGCAGGTGCTCGATCGGTCGTGGATGAATTCTCTTTACGGGCTACCAACCTTCCATTACAGAAAAACGTCTCTATTCAAGAGGCACGTTTAATCCAGACGCCGGTTTTTTATCGCGGCTGGAAGCGGCGGATCATTTGTTTTTGCGCGGCGTACCGCTCTTCGGGGACGAGGCGTGGGGTATTGCACCGAACAAAAGTCGATTTCAACAATTTTTACCGTAAGATCTAGGTTAGTCTTTAAATTTGGCTATATACATACAGCTCGTTCTGAAAAGCATCTATTCTCGAAATAATAAGATTTAATCTTCTTGAAGAATTTCCCTTGGAAAATAAAATGGATTAACAATCGAGTGAAATATTATAATCACTGTTGCGTTAACAAATACAGAGTTCAATTTGAGATTTAATTACTAACTTCGATTAAATCAATGTGAGAACGAAATTATTTTTTTTTCCGCAACGAGATTAGATACTTTCGTGAGATATAATGAAATTACGATAATTTTAAACCCACTTCTCCGCGAGAGAGTTCTAGTTGGCGATGGAAAACAGGTCGACACGATCGGCGAGATCCGTTAATCGGCGCGATTAAAGCACATTAGACGAGAGAAACACACATAACTCGTGTCTATTAAACATTTTTACCTCGCCTAGCCGAGTGAAATCGTTCGTTCCGCACGATCGATACACAACGGGCCATTAACATTCCCCGCTAATAGCATAGCCAGAGCGAAAGGCCGGCGTTAATAAAATTATCTTAATCTCCGAAGTTCTCGACAGCTACCAGTATTTCTGTGAAACGAACGATCTCCGTGAAAATGTAGTCCCGCTGCATTTGCCGTCCATTACGCCGCTAATTTGTTTCATTTAGGAAACTGATCTTCCAGCAATTCCTCGCTGTTTCGTAATTGTGAAACTGATATACACCAGTTTACGGGAAAGCAGACCGATTTGCATACGTGTGTGCGTGTATAAGCGCACGCTTATGTAACATGAATTGAACCGTAACCTTGTTTAACGCGTTTCAACTTCGCTTGGATCATCGATGGCCAAGATTATCGAATTGATAATTTTCATTACGCTTACGAGAACGTTCCTTGGGTTTAATTTTCCCGTGAAGTGGAAGAAAATAGAAAAAAAAATAAAAGAAATTGATATATCTGATTGACCAGTGTTATACATCTTGATATGATAATAATTTATAGGAAAAAGATTAAGATCAACGAAAAATTATAAAATTTTAAAAGGAAAGCAATATGATAACTTGAATAAAATGAAACTGATAATAGAAATTTTAATAAATCTCGAATCTATTTCTATTTTTATGAACATAAAGTCAATATTTATTATGTTGATTAAAAAACAAGATAAAGAGAGTGATTACTTCAATATAGATTGAGAAAGGAATTTTTTAAAGAATATTTGTATATTTGAATACAAACATATGTTTCTTTTTTTTTTTTTTTGTTTCTATAATCTTAAGAACACGTATCTTAGAAACGGGAAGTGCTTTCAAGTGTTCACACTTTCGTATACCAAGAATAGACGATCTGTCAAGACCCTATCGTTTACGCATAAACTCCACTTCACAGAGTGAAACCATGGAAGGGATCTAAACATTCCCCAGACTAAACACCTACACCACCCACGCGACAACCATGTGTAACTAGTAACAAATGTTTTGAATTATCTTGTAACGTAATCTTCCCTAACAAAAACGATATTCCACGGATTTTTGATGAGGGAAAAAAAAAACGACCTCATATCTCTCTGCTATTTTCCCATTCTTTCTGGATTTTAATAACCTGCAAATCAAACAAGAACCTGTTAACATCTTTTAAATAAGAGAATAAAAAAAGGAAAAAGAAAAAATGATTTATAATAAAGAACTATCTTTAAAGTTTTTCTATTTACAATACGATACTTTGTTATTTAATATCATTATACGTTGAAATCTTCTATTCTACATCGAAACGATAATATTGAAAATGACGTACATTGAAATGATAAGGAAGAGTATCTAAGAGTATTCAAATCATAGAGAAAATGCATTGGAAATTAGGTATACTTTATACTTTTTCTTTACGTACCACGTTTCGCTTCCCCTGTTTTCGACCATCTAAGATTTCGAAGCGCTCGAGCACGCCACGATACGCTTATAAAGCATATTCCCGTCGACGGTGGGGCGGGCGCGAGCTTAATACAAATCTAACCGAGCGTAGCCTCGGCTGAGCCAACATAATCAAACTTCTTAGGTTGGCAACTGTCGCGATTTATCTTCTTTTCCACCAGTTCCTCTCTCCTCTCTGGTTCTCCAGTTTCCGCCGTGTTTCCCGTTCCTTCCCTCACCCGTTGACTCCGTTCCACCGCTCACACTCCGGCTTGATCCCGGCTCCTCACTCCCCTTATTCACCAGGAATAAAAAACAGCGGCTAAGCAGAACGGTGCCCGA